TTGCTTCCAGTGTGGAAGCTCAAACCACCGGGAAAAATAGTGTCTAGGCCCAGCTTGGGGCTTTCTTTGCCCATCAATAGACAACAAGCCCGAAGCAAGCAATGAAAGCTACCCTTTATTTAGAAGGTTGCTCAAAGAGTCGAGGAGTAAGGCCCAATCAGGACTAAAATAAGGCAAAGAAGCCTTTAAATAAAAGGCAAGGTAATGTGGACCCACGCTGCGCTTGGTATTTTTACCTATCAGCAAGGGAAAGCCCCAAGCTTATAGTAGTGTTTGCTAGGTCAGCGGCCTACTATGGGGCGCTAGACAGGGTGGTGATCCTCAGGGATCCCAAGTGCTTTTTAAGACTCAAGAGGATTTGCATCTCTAGCAAATGGTTGCAAGTTAGCTCGTTAATGCTGTAAGACGCGATGGTCTCCCTGGTGGCTTCAGCATCAAGTAATGCTAACGCTTTTTCAGGGACGTCCGATGGGCTCCTGTTTCTTTTACTTCATTCTATTTCCTTTAGGGCAGTGTTCAGGGTTCTTTTCTGTACATGCCGTCGGAAATTATCTCGCCTTTCTTCCCTCCACTGCAGGGATTCAAATGACGACTTCCAAGCGTTTTTATACACTTCTTCTTCATAAAGAAAGCCTTTTCTTACCACCTCTGCCTCTTCAAGGTGATTAAGCGCGGCTTTGAGCTCATTCTTAACAGCGTTCGCTGTGTTGCCATACTTATCATTCATTGCTTTTTGTGTCTCTGTAATCTCTTTTCTTGCTGATTGGACTTTATCAGTCACTTGCTGTTGCTGTACTCTGAGCTTAGCACCATTTTCTTCTAAGAGCGCAAGCTCCCCCCTGGTCTGGTTGCTCAATATTGACACCTCGCTGTCCTTGGTGTCGTTTGTGCCTATGCTCGACAGGCTTCCTCTTTGTCCTTTGTCCGTTAGAAAGAGCCATTGAACATTAAGCAGTCTCTGATGTCCATGAGACACGTCTTTGTTCCCCCCCCCCTAGATTTCGTGGGGCCTGCGACAGTCACTCGGGCTTTCACCGGATCGGAACTGCTGGATTTCCTCAGAGAGGCTACCACCTAGGGTACAAGTTTAGCATTGACGTTTTTTATATTGGCATATTTTCAATGTCGTAGTGACCCGCGAAGGCCACCACTACCCTTTTTTTTAGAAATAAGTATGTGGAAAGGGTTAAAACCAAGGCAGCAGCCCTCTCTGTTACCAGAGAGAACCGCGACTTGCTCGGGTAGGTCGGGAGTCGCCACTCTCCCTCAGTCTCACCCGCGGAGACTGCCCTGGCGTTGAGTAACAAGTCTAAGAATGGTGTTTATGAGTTATGTCTGTATATGTTGGTACACTACGATTATCTCAGCGAGACGAACAGCAACGTACAGTCCCACGGCCGCGCAGACAACCAAACAAAACGAGCTGGCGTAAGGCACTAAGGGGCTGCCATTCAGCTTTTTCAGTGGTAGTAAGCCTAGATTAGTCGGTCCACCACGTCTTTTTTGTTCATGAGGCTTACAGCCATATCAGATGTGGTTACCCAGACTCACCTGGGCCTCATCATCCGGCTTTACCCACCGCGAGGCGTCCAACGCAAGCCCAGGAAAGGACCTACGACCCGCAATTCGGAACAATCCGTCAGTGTCCCTGTGTTTTTTTAGGGAGAGTGTGATGCATATATCTGAGAAGAATGTTATAACCGACACTTACTTACAAACACGACGGTTAGTACTAGTAGTAGTTGTAATAGTAGTTGTAGTAGTAGTAGTAGTAGTAGTAGTAGTAGTAGTAGTAGTAGTAGTAGTAGTAGTAGTAGTAGTAGTTGTAGTAGTAGTAGTAGTAGTAGTAGTAGTAGTTGTAGTAGTAGTAGTAGTAGTAGTAGTAGTAGTCGTGGATTTTGATGATGGCGCTAATAACGTGAGAGATAAAAAGAGACTTAACACTAAAAGATGTAAAAAATGGTATTTTCTTATTAACCGTTTGTTTAGAATTTCAAGAGACTTGTAAATAATATTCCAACTTCATTATAAATGTGAGCTCCAAAGGGTTCATAAATGACATGCCAATGAAGTCCACGGTATATTGTCCAAAAAAATAGAGAACATGTTATTTTTATGATATGTTAAAAAAATGTTACTAATTTTATTTTTAAAGATAGAATTATTTGTGTTAACAGTAAATTTTTTTACAATCGTCGACTTTTTTGGAGAGTCAAACGACAAGGTTTTTTGTAGTACATGCTTGTTTTAAGAAATGTTGTATTAAAATATATATTTATTTTAATTACTTTTTCAGAGAAATATTTTTAAAGTTCCTGAGTTATAGAATCTCTGTTTTACACTCAAAGTATAGTATAAACGTAACTAGTCAAATGAATTTTGATTCGGGAATACTAAAGTTGTTTTTTGTTTATCTCTATATCTACGAAAATAAATATAAATGTTTTTTTATTTTTACTTCTGTTAAACGATCGGATGTTACTTATACTGACAACAATCAACGGTTGTACTGTAATTTAATAAAATACATGAATGCAGTTTATTATAAGCTTCTCGGCTCCCAACACATGTAATCTAGCTCATAAATTATTAACGAGTTAATCAAAGTTAGTGAAAGTATTTTTAGACATCGATGAATATTTCGTCATCCCTTAGTATCTTAAGTCATTGCTACCAAGGTGAATAATTTGAAATTTGCAGAAAAAATAATGGAGAAGCGGTAGTGGCAACTTTCAAACTCATAGTTTAAAAGTTTTATTTTAATGTATGGACTTGAACCATGAGTAAGTTGAACGAAGGTCAAAAATCGTCAAATACAATTTAAAAAAATTATGATTTCTTACCATTATTTAAAAAAAAATAGATTATTTACGTTTTTAGTAGTACTAAGCCTTAAAATTTCGTCGAACTGTCAATTTTTTAGCCTCTTATACACCTAAAAAATTTAGCAAGATCGAATATTAACTTTTTGCAAACCGCTACAGAAAGTGAAAAAGTCCTCTTGAAAAATGGCTGCAAAAAGTTTTGGGACAACTTAAACCAATTTTACAAAACCATTTTTCTTCTTGAGGAGTTGCTTTATAACTTATCTAAATGGCATTTTTTTCGTGGGAGTATAATAAAAACTAACAACCATTGAAAAAATATGCAGTTTTTCATTCTGATCGGCAGTCAGTAGTCGGGAGCCTCCGGGATCTAATGGCTACCATACACCCAATGTTGTAAGACGTAATACCACACTATGCTATACTTTTCGTACTTGAAAAACACAATGTTTTTTAAATTAATAAAAACTGCTGCTGATAATGAACCTTCTGAAAATAATAAAAAAGAAATCAACTATCGTATAAAGATTTTATTACAGAATTCACGTACTGTTTATTGAATGCTTGGATCACAGTACAGTTGTCGTTGGTGCAATGGCAATGTTTATTAATACCATGTTGACACATATTTACAAGAAATAATACTACATGTTGTAATCATATTAATTGGATTTGGAAAAACTCTTTACAAATACTATTAGGTTTGAATAACTTGTATTAATTTTATTTTGTTTAATTTTTTTCTTATGTCGCTTGATGCGAAGGTAGAATTTAAAATTAATCCATTAAAAAATAATTTTAAAAAAATCACAACGTCAACGTGTTTATTTTTTTGTGATTTAAAAATAACAACAACGATTAGTATAAATAAAAAAAAATAGTAAAAATAATTACATATGTTTTGTAAGAGAGTCATTTAAATTAAAAAATTATTGTAAGACCTTAAAAGTTATCTGCGGCATCCGTAAAAAAAATTCTAGTCTTGTATTAATCGTTACGGAGTGGCAGCCGTATATTGGTATCGTTTGCATTGTAAAATATTGTTAGATGAACTAAACGAGCTCCTTCATATTACACTTTGATATGTTTAAAAAGGCAGTCAAGCCAAATCTGATTGTATATTAGTGTATAGTGACTCAGGTATTCAGGTCTAAATCCAAGAGAGCAGCTACTCAAAAAAAATACTAATAGTACTATAAAATTTTAAATCTTGTGTTATAGTTACTAAAACGTGTAAAACTGTAGAACAAATCCACATATTGCAGAAAAATAATAGCACTACTATTTTTGTATAATTAAAAGAAATTGATAGTACAAGAATATTCTTAAGATATTAACAACTGTCGAATAGTCATGATAAATATTTTTGATCTTATCAATTATTTACCACTGTAATAACAATTTTAATAACTCAGAAGTGCGACGAAGATCTATGCACCATTTGGCGTACAGTGGCCTTCCGAGCCTGCATGCTGACTACCACTTGCCACCAACCGAAGCGAAAAACTGAATATTTTTTCAACTAATCTTTTTTATACCTGTACTGCCTTAAAAAATGCCATTCAGTTAAGTTTTAAGGGCACTTTTTGAGAAGAAAAGAGATTTTGTAAAATTGGTTTCAGTTGGCTCAAAATTTTTTATAGCCAGTTTTTAAAAGGACCTTTTTTTACTTTGTGTAACAGTTTGCAAAAAATTAACATTCTATCTTACTTAATTTTGTAGGCCTACAAATCTGTTTTTCTTACGAAATCTTAGGTTCTACTATTAGTTAGAATATGAGTAGTAATTTTTTTTTAATTTGCAAAAAATCATGGTTTTTTGCAATTTGAACGAAAACTACTAGACTGATCGGAGTTAAAAGACACTTATTTTATTTGTAATTTTATCGTGCATTTTTTACACAACAAATTTTTTTTTCGATGTGTGAATCATTTCCTCAAATAACAAAAATCGTTACAAAACTATTTTTAATGATTTTTGATAAGTTTTCCAAGCTTACAATATTCAGTTATGATCCTTCTTTGTAGCAATTATTGTTGGTAGAAATTTTTTCGTCAAAACATTTTAATGATTTTTTTATCTTTTTTTAACGTTGTATAAATATAATAACAACGGTAAAAACACGCATTTACAATATTTAAATATAAGAAAGTTACTGAAGAGTCAAGTACCTACTTGATATTCTAGAGGAATGCAGTTACTGAGAATGAGTTCCTGAAGTTGTAATTCACGCCCAATACTACGAACTCCTTCTAACAAACCTTCCATTTCTCTCTGGTGTTCTTGTTGCAGATCAGATAGTTCCGCTTTAACTGATAAAAGCATGGAATGAATTTTCACAAGTTTTTTTGTTTTTCCAATGGCTTCTTCTTGAAGAGAAGAATATTTTTCTTTAATGTCTATACACTCTGCTGTCTTTTCTTTGATCGCCTTTTTAAGTTGTTCTTCTCTACGTTTTCGATCTTCAAGTTCAATAGCTGCTGCTACTAAAAGTTCATCCTGAGCTTCAGCTTTTTCTAGAAGATTTTCCCCGCCGACAAGTATTTTATTTTGTAAATTTAACATTTTTTCTCGCAAAGCTTCTTTTTCAGACCTGTTGGATACAGAGTATAAATTAATAAGTAAGTAAAATATTTGATTTCATTATATTATACGGAAAAAAGTAAGAATTCCGTTAAAATTATACGATAATATTACATAAATTTCCGAATCAAATATTTAATTTTCAAATTACTCTATAGGTTTTATAAGCTTACATTTACAATAAATATTAGTTATTGGAGTTAAGAAGACATCAAATTTATGAAAGATAAGAGTTCCAAATCCGTATTAATGTTTGATACATAATTTGTCTTTTGTAGTTTTACATATTTTTATTAACAATTAATATCAGTTCTTGAAGGTAAATTATTTAATTCATTAAAGATGACAGCGTTAGTAAATAACAATCACAAATTTTTGCATTTCATAAAAAAAAATTTTCGACAGTTTATACTTTTCAAATAATACAGAGTTTTAAGGTGGCTTGGGCGATTTTTATCAGCTTGATCAAAACCTCTGAAATTCTGAAATTATGTAAAAAAAGTATGCCAAATTCATTTGCAATAAAAAAATACTGCGGTCAACGACTTAATTTTTTCGCAAATCGCTACTAAAAATTCACCAATTTAACATGCAGTCTGAAAATTGTCATTAAAACGGCTACAACTCTAGAAGTACTTGGTTAACTTCAAAAATTTAAAATAGTTGTCGTGAATTTTTTTACAGAGAATCTATTAAATTTTTGAAAATATAGGTCAACGACTTAAGAGAAAATCAGAAGAAAAGTATGAAATATTCATCTGGCTTGCCTCGCAACATTTCCCATTTTTTACAGTTATAATTTCACGGTACTTTTCTGGCAATTACTTGATCTTATACTTTAGTTTTATCGAAATAACTATATTTATTGAAAAATTTACCGTCGAAAATTGTTGATTTTTTAGGGGCTCTTATAGCACCCTACTCTAGGTACGGTACTAACCGCCCAAGCCACCTTAACGACCTCAAAATATCCTTACAGTTGGATATTGAATAAAAATGTAAAAGGAAGTGCTTATTCAAAGTTTAACAAAAGAAAAGTCCTGAATAAAGTAACTTATTTAATATAAATTAATTTTTAGCAACTTGACAAAATCAAAAATTATCTGACAAATAAAGGTTTTTGTACTCAATAACTCATATACGTACAAAATACAAAATAATTAACCTTTTTAGAGAACTGTAAAATATTGTGGGAAGTAAATGTAAATCTCTTAGTGGCATAAAATAATCATTTATATTTTATACTGATTGTTTCAATATTTTGTACACAAATGTGTACAACATCTTTCATGCACACGTACTTAAAAGATATGATAGAGGAGAGCTGGCATATTTAATATTTAATTGTTAACTTTGATTTAATAATTGCTAAATAATAACATGATAAATAACATTTTTCATTTGCCGTGGCTACGATGTTGAGAAACCTGTAAAAAATGGTCAATAATTGTCAAAAACGGTTTCGGTGTTTTATAAGAAAAAGATGCATCTGATAAAAAAAGCGCTGTTGTACAAAATTTTTTAATGAAACAACAAATCGAATGAGCTTTTGTGAGCTGCGATTAATCTACTAGTTTTTGTGCAAATCGCAAAAAATCCGACTTTCAGCCATTTTTACAGAAATTTATATCGCACGTTCTAATCAATATCAAGTTGCAAAAATATGAAAAAGAGCCTTTTGATATGCAGCCAGCACCCAGTGCCCAGTTGACTTAGAATATTGCAGTACACAGTTCTGTAGAAATATTCCACACTATTTTACATTTTTTCGTACTTAAGAAAAAAAGTATAATTAAAAAAATAATCAACTAGCACACAGCGTTTTACTTAATATGTATGTATTGTTTATTGAATGCCTGGGTTAGAATACAATTACAATTTGTACATCAATGTTTATAACCACTATGTCGACATATACACTTGTAAAATGTAATATTGAATTTTGTATACAGATTAATTAAAAGTTTACAAGTTCTTTGTAATCTATGTAGCTTGCAATATCTAAAAAGATTCAATTTTTGTTCATGTGTAAATAAAACCGTCACATTTTTAATGATTACAATACTTATACACATGACTTGCAGTAAAAATATTATCAGTAATAAAATAGTTTGTTCTTAAATAATCCAACTTAAATAAACTGCTTGTATTACGAATCTACACGTTGCAGATAGTACATTGCAGTACAATAGAGAACTTGCATGCAACAGGGATTCACGAAATATCACCTTCCAGCGCTAGAGGGAATCCTTAAAAACATATAGCAATAGTAAAATTATCAATTATTAAATGCTGCATAACGTAATAAAATATTTTCAGAGTACGTAAATCGGGCTTCTGTTCAAATCAATGGCACGTGATCATGGTCTAGTCACTTCTGAATTTTTAATGGTTTATTCGGCTTAGGATTTATGATGCCAAGTTTTGTTGTGAGACGTCATTATGCCATATTCAAATATGCTTTGAATGGAGCAGACCGTCGGTTTGTTTACAAAGTTATAGGTTTGGAGTCACTGTATTTAAAAAACGATGAATCCAGGATTTATTCGAGGCACGTCTGAAAATCAACCTAAAGTAGATTTAGATATGTTGTTGACGCACATTTTTTCTGGCGATTGCTATAGAAGCATAGAAATGTGAGACGTGAAGGCAAAAAAGTTGGTTTGACATCTGGGTGTTATAGATACTGTCGATACAAATTTGATATCGCATACGTACGAATTGAAAAAAATTGCAAAATAATGCTAAATTAATACTTAATAGCTCAATGCGTCCAAGTTACGGATATCGGGCTATTGAATACGTTCAAATGCGGTAAGAAAAGCCAGAATGTACATTCTTGGCTAAACTGTCTCTTAAAAATTAAATCAGAAATAAAAATTATTTTGTAGAAATAGTTGTAGACGAGCAGACTGAAATTATCGTTAAGGTCAAGTGTCAAGACTGTGCTTCATCTCAAGGTGGATGCAAACATGCCATTGCAGTTCTAGCTTAAGTAAACAGAAAATCTAAGCAACCAGCTTGCAAAAGTGTCGAATGCTACTGGAAAAAAAAAGTATTGTCTGGGGTTGGATCCACAATATAGTATCAAGAGATAAGAGAAATGTTTCCAAAAGCATCAAATGAAGACAAAATAAATAATAGCAATAAATTTTTCAAACCAATTTTGGATAATCCAATGGCAACAACCTCCGGGAGTCACATTGTTCAATTTTTGTCCAAATACCGTGCAAATGTTGTCCCTACATTACCAAGCAGAGTATTACAAAAGAGCTTATGATAACGTAGATAATTTAAAACAGTACTGCTCACAATATTCGAACGATGACAATTGTCTCCTTGCATACACAGTCACTTCTCAGCAAGCTGACAGTTCCTCGTAGTTTGAATTAAAGTACGGACGTACAACTGCTTTAGTTATCTATGAATATGCTCAGTGTTCAACAGTTGCTGGCTCATTAGTACAAAAAATCATCGGCTTTTAACACTTTAGTTCCCCCGCTATGCAGAGTGGTAAAGATTTGAAGAGTACTGTTTTGTCTATAGTTGGTCAACAGTTAAAAGTAAAATTTGGAGAAAGCAACTTAAGAAAATCTGGGCTTGTTATGAAAAAAGATCTTCCAATGTTGGATGCGTCTCCTGACCTCCTTTAATCCTTTAAAATTAATTTGCGATTCTCATACTTTTGTTTTGGTTGAGCAGTTCATCGCCCTTCCTTGCTTTCAAAAAAAAAGCGAAATTTCCAATATGTCCATGTAAAATCAACCTAATAAATCTTACTTACATTTTCATCTTTTTGTTTACATCGCCCGTAAGGCAAATGGATACATTCGTTGTATTTTCGTCATTTTAATATAGATACATGTTATGTAGTATTATCAGATAGAATAAAAATACTCACACGATTAAAAAAATTTTTTTTGTGTTGTAAAAAATTCAACTTTATGCAAGAAACAAAGTCAATTAATTTATAATTGTAAAGTTGCTTTTCACACAATATTTTTAACCATTGTGTATATTTTATTTTTGATTTGCATAAGTATTGAAGTACACGACTGTATCGATAGGCTGTAGGCATGCGCAAGTGTACGTGTGCCTGTGTTAGAGGAGAGGCATGTACAGCGCCAGTCAGGTGTGCGCCAGTTCTGATTTGACCATAGTCAAATGTACACGCAACACTTAGCTCTCCTCGAATTTAGAAAGTTTGTATACACGTAAAAGTCCGTTATACTCAGTCGTCAGTTAGGTTTGTCATAGTCAGTTGAATAAATAATATTGTCAAATGAAATCTGTTCAGTCTTCTCCTTATTCCATAAATCTATAACCCTTCAGGTTACGAGCCCCAGCACGCTTCACCACGCTTTTCTCTTGTGTGTGTTATTTTTTTTTTTCGTGTCCCTGGGAGGAAAAAATGTAAATAAGAAACCACCTCTGGCTGAGGAGAAGAGCGAGGAGATTGCGACTTCAGTGGACGAGGAGCTCCCGGTAACCGGGACTGAGGATGAGACCGTGGCGATGATGTTGCCTCCAGGATCTCCTGAGGTGGCAAGCACAGCTCGGCTTTAGATGGAAAATGTCGGTAAGTGATAGCAATATCATTAAATGTTTTGTGTCAAATCTCGGAGACAGTGCTACGGCGAGAGGCAGTCAATCGAGACAAGGTCAGCGAGTTCCAAGAAGAACTCGGGAAAAATAAAACAGTCTACTTGCACGTGATGACAAAAGCGCCGCGGGCGCGTGCTCGGTTGTTTTCAAATGTGCGGAAAAAGACAGGGGGAGGTAACGAGAAGAGAGAAAGCGTTCGCTCTCTGTCTTATTAACATGAAACCACATGGCCTCTCTCGCGCGCATTGTACAGCATTGCGCAACTTTTAACCACGAAATATTTTTCCCTCTCGTGTTTGTCTGTAGTAACCGTGTGCGTGCTCGGTCGGTGTTTCGTTTTGCTTTGTTTTAAACGAAGGCAGACAGGGTGAAACATAAATACTCTGGGATCGATACAACAAAAGC